CTTTATCAAAACTCCTTCATCCATAGAACGGCTAGGCTCTGGAATTCATTGCCTGAGGAAGTATTCCCAACAACATATAATCTCCAGAAGTTCAAAAAAAATTCCGATACCTACATCCTGTCCCTATCCTCCCTAGGAACGCACGATGTTCTTTGAACATTATAGGGATTCCCATTCGTGCGCTCCAAGCGATAAAAAAATGAATAAATTGAAGATTCAATCGTCTCTCAAATGCTATACAGGGTGAGTCATGACTAACCAGCCATAGCCTAATGGCGGATAGAGGAAGTCAAGGTGAGCTGGTATATATGTGAAAATATATATTCTGCCTATTCCTAACAGAAATTATTACAGAGCATTATTTGAATTCTGGGCGAATGTTTGATGAACAATATTTCAGGAACATCTTGATGTTTTCGCCTGAAATTCACCAGCAATACACCTCACCTCTACTGACACACCGCACGATGGCCGACTATGAGAGAGAAATTCCAGAGCCGGACTTGGAAAACTCATTCTCTTTTAAATGTCAAAATGTCGACTTCTTAAATCGCATTTTTCAAAAACTTTCATTCGAATCAGAGAGATCAGGAAAAACACTACAATTGTAGCTTCCCAATTTGTACGGCACACTTCGACCGGATTGGTGAAAAAATATCAAACAAAATTCAGACGAATATTTCATCGATTTCGTCCGGGCCATTAATCTCTACATTCGACTGAACGTATTAGAATCAGTTTTTTTGAATATTGATATAGCAGCAGAGTTGATGAAAAGTATTATTGAAGAAAAATCAGGACCAGACATGGTTTTTGGAAATAATTACAGAATATTATAATTTTCGAAGAAGATTCTTCTGTAAATATTAATATTTTTCAACGAAGATTCTCAAAATTTCCTCCTCTCCAATTTCTATACATTTTCTGCATAATATATCTTCGGAAGATCTCTTATTGTTTTTCGAATAATTTGCCTATTATTTCTGATCGTATCGGAATCTGTATCTATCCTCTTCCTCAGTTCCTCTCTGGTGTTGACTTCAGTCTGATATACCAATAGTTTTATGGATAGATAGATAATAGTCGAATACTGCGAGATTAGGGTACCTAGGGAGCCAAGAATGAGGGCCGCCACGACCTATCCAGCGATTAGATTAGAGAATTTATTATTGTAATGTATATCCATAAGATATCCGATTGCGGATGTACTAAGATACAGAGACAAAAAATCAGTACCTAGAAATTTCAAATCAAGTATATACAATGAATGAAATGATAAATAAATAAAAGGAGATCCACAAAAGTAACACTTGTGCATGGGTCTTCCAAAAAGTGGCACACATTGTGATGCACTATCTGCTGTATTAATAATTCGGTTTTCAAAAACAGCGCGAGGTGGCGGTACGCCTCAAATAGTCCAAGATTGGTAGACCTGATGATTATTCATAGATCATCGATTCTACCAACCTTGGAATAGTCGAATAATGTCAATCTGTTCTCATATTCAATTAATTTGAGGTGAATTTGCAAGTGATTCCTACGAATTCGTCCAAAATTTATGATGCAAAAGAACTGACAACTACATTATTCGAACGCAGTGAGACGCGAGTGCTTCCCAATTCTTGTGATTTTTTTCTATATATATATAGGGTAAACTATCTCTGATCCATATCCATAGTTGATATCTTATGGATATCCATAATGAATATCTTCAAGACATCCAAAAAGGTCACACTGTCACATCCTATAGACGTCCATAGGATATACCAGAGCCTTTTTCGGGAATCTTATGGACATCCACAATATCCATGATGGACATCCACAATATCCATGATGGATATCCATAGTATATCCATAAGATGTGCTATCCATCACAGTCTTCTTTTGTAGTGTTTTATGAATAATAAAAACACCAAACTCACAATTTGATTCACTGATTGTAGTATGAGTTGGCACGTATATCTGATTCGGAAAAAATATTCTACCTAAGCATTTTTTTTTTAAATATTTTTCCATCTCTTGGAGCGTACGAAAGGAAATTCCTATGATGTTCGGAGAACAACGTGCGCACTCAGGGAGGATATAGGGAGAGAAGATAGGTATTGGATTTCATTTTGGAAAATTAGGCTCTTATTTCCATGTTTTGAAAGGTCTCTTCAAGAAAAAAAAAGTCCGGTCCTGGAATTTTTCATCGAATAGTGCCTTTAACAACCCTTATAATACACCGATATGCAAGAAATGGATTTGAATGAATTTGTAGAACGATGTAACAATAGCCAGTACGAAATCATGGAATCGTTCATCAATATTTTGTTCGTTATTTCTTTACCAATCCGGTCGAAGTATGTAGTTAAATGAAAGGCTACACTTGTAGTGTTCTTCCTGATCTTTCTGATTCTGATTAAAATTTTAGAAAAATACGATTCAACAAGTCGAAATTTTGACATTTCAAAATAAAATGTTTTCCAACTCCGTCCCTCAAATATTTTTTTCCATAGTAGGCCATCGTGTGGTGTGTCAGTAGAGGTAATAAGTTGCTGGTGAATTTCAAGTGATAACATCGAGACGGTCCTGAAATATCGTTCATCAAAGTTTCGCCCCGAATTCAAATAATGCCCTGTATTTCTGTCACGAATAGGCAGAATATATTTTTTCTACGGCTATAAGACGAAATTGTTTGTGTTTTACTGTCTTCGATACATCAATAAGGTACTTTTTATGTCAACAATTTTATTTCCGTATCTGATATCACAATGACTCCATTGTGCTATTATTTCAAAAAAATCTCATCGCTCATGATGGCGACAAGCCGAAGAAATGTCGCTGTTATCTGTTACAGCCGTAGGAAAATTATAGTGTGCATAACTTATTGCACGGATTGCCAATTTCTCACTCGAATGATATAGCAGCATTCGCTTTTGGCTTATGCTGCAAACTTCATTCTGGTAAGAAATCACTATCATTTCGTGCTCGTTGAACAATATACTATTTTCACATATATATCAACTCACCTTGACTTCCTCTATCTACCATTAGGCTATGGCTGGTTAGTCATGACTCACCCTGTATATGCCACCGGCCCTTACAGTCTCAGAGCTGATAATTAATTTCACTGTCTGATTAAAAGATATCGATATCCCGATCCTACATTATTGTACTGCCGGAACAACATTAAAAACTGATCGGGATGTCTGGCAGGTTTTCAGTGGTAGAGGCGGCAGTGGTATGGCCAATATGGCCGTTAGGGGTTGAAAGAAAAATGCAATGAAACGTACGATTAATAGATAGCTGAATATTTGTGCTTTTCAATGAAAATTATGCGAGGCACTAGAGTGGTGGAATTATACCGCCAGACAGCGCCAACGGCGCTTCAAAAAGACACTCCATCGTTCGATATATAGAGACTTTTGGGCCAATTTTTTATTTTGGTTTTCTGTTACGATAGACCATCAGTCACCAAAAATTATTTTCATGTCTAAAGGGTGTTCAAATTCCAAAATATCGGCTGATGATGAGTTTTTTAATGGACACCCTCTGTTTTCCATTTGCTTTTTCGTATGCACTATCAAAACTGCTACACAACTGTTTCTTGTTTTCTGAGGGGTAATATATAGGGCCCGATGAGAGAGGTTAACATTTTTCATTCACGATGTTCTCCGAGTATTATATAGAACTTTCCTTTCGTGTGCTACAAGAGATAAAATAACATTTCATTTGCTTTTACCATATCCGAATTTGTGATTTTGGTAGTCCACCAATGAGCCGGACATGGAAAATACTTAGATATAGAATAACAACCCTGTTGATTGTTTTTTTCCTTAGCACAATTAATTGCAATTATGTGGAGCCCAAGGATTAGTCCAGACCCAGGAACTAGTTTCTCCTTTACTTTGAAAATAAACACTTAGAGGCCTCTCCTGGAAACCGAGGTAAAATTGTAGCTAAAACATAAATTTTTAGGAACATCCACTTTCTATACATATCGAACATATAGTATTTCTTTCTGATTCATTGCTGATTAACTCTCGATATGTAGGTAACAGATATATATTCTTAAACAATCAATTCAGATGAGTAACAGTTTCTTTGGAATATTATCTGATCTAATATCGTAGTTGTGCAAGAAAACATCCGATATATGACTCGGGTGTATCAGAAATGGCAATACAAGATGCTATGCGAGTGAATCATTTTCTTTATTCCATAAATAGAGTGGACCATTTTTTTTATCTCTTAAATAGAATCATCACTCAAATACCTTTCCATAATACTGTAAAAACTGACGTCACGATTTAGTAAGTAGGAGCAGACAACAGCACAGTTGCCATAAGTCGAAATACGATCGGGAACTTCAGCAGTATTAGCTATTCAATAATCCATAAATTCTCAATTACGTATTGGTTATATTCCTAATTAGCATTAAAAAATCAATTGCCTCAAAATGTTTCCTTATGTGTTGTGGCTTATTGCTTATGCTCATAATACATTTGTGTAAATGATAATTATATTAATTCCCACTAGAAGACACTCGAACCAGTAAACGATCGGGTAAACGTGACAAAACGGCGCACCACGAATAATTGTTGGCGTGGTCTTGTCAGTCTCATCAGTATAAGAAATATTTGGACATACTGGTTGCTCGGAAAATTCAAGAAATAACTATAATATCATGGGTTCCTCCTATTATCTTTTATTCAACTACATGACCCTAACATCGTTTTGATAACTTGATTATAATTGGTGAATTGGCAATCTTGCTTCATGAGTATGAATGAAAGATTATCTGACCAACAACGAAACAGCATAAAAACTGACGTCACGATTTATTCGACGTATCGCCAAATGGCAGCCATGACGATAAGTTTTAAAAAAGATCTGAAAGTCAACAATTTCTAACAACGTACAGACTTATTATTTACATTCTACACTTATTCGAGTGTGCCGAAGTCAAATATATCTCTATATATGTATAAATGGAATACGGAATAAAATACCAACAAAATATGTCAGAGGAAGTTTTATTTTCAAGAGATCTAAATTCATGCTGCTTCTTGAAACATGTAAAGTTTTCTAATAATAAATAAAATATCATTGAAATTAAGTATTAAATTAATATGGCAAGAATCATGAAAGCATCATTTGTCACCTTAACATTATACAATTTTCGAGAGCAGGCAATCTTTATTTCTAGATTCACATGACAATATGAAACAATCACATTATATCTTATAAAAAATATTATCTGTAATATAATGCTAAAAACAATGTACTACACCAGAATCTAGAACATTTCACATTCACTTATCATAAATATAACTGAAATAAAGGAACAATTGCATGAAAAATTAGCAGATAGCATTAGAAATTGTCATTATATTTTATTATTTCTGTATTCAACTGTTGTGGCTATTGCTCTTACTTTAACGATAGATAGGGTGTCTGAAAATCATCAGCAAATAAATCGAGTGGTGGTTCTACTTTTAGAATTAATGCAGCAAGTTTCTATAACATTTTTTCGAATCACCACTGTTCCTTTTTATTCTCCATCCAAATTTGGAGAGAATCGAACTTTGAAGCTGCGTAATTCTATTACTTTCAAGGTTTCGGAACAATTATATAATGAGAGCTCGTTGCACTGATTTTGAAAGCAAAATCACGTCTCCAGTCATTTTCTCATTATCTTCGATACCCAGATGTATATATACGATATATCATTTCAACGGCAGGAAATAAACGTTGGTTATGGAAAAATCAACAATTACATCTATTTTTCATACTCCAAGCTGCATTAATCTGGAATACATTCTCAAACATATTTCCGTAAGAGCTACCAGTTCGTAGGTGAATGAATTTTGTTAAAAATGTTTATATGATCGAATTCCAACACTTATGCCCTCCATATTGAAATAGAAAATAACATAAAATATACATTGCAGGAAAAATATATCCACGAATACATTACATTTATATACTTTCGTATTCTTCTGAAACCGTCAATATCACATCTTTCCGGTTTTCAAAACACATGATATAAATATTCATGAACACACCAAGAAAAATGAGGTGAACTAAGAGCAATTGACTTGCTTTGTGGTGTAGATTCCAATAAGTTAATGAAAGTGGTATTTTTTACTTGAACTGATCCAACAAAAAGCTACTTTTGAGACTATTAAAAGATATACTACTGATGGTGTGAAGATACTATGAAGAAGTTCAACCTCAATTTCCTTGCTGTGTTGCATATTCACATTAGTTATACTCACCAAAAGGATTCATTGCAGGCTACAAAACGAGCGTTTTATTCAATATACAGGGTAATTTTCTTGTTCTTTTGATACGTGAAGGAAATCCTCATACTAAAACCAACATCCCCATCGAACCATCAGTAAATACAACATGGCCAATCTCTCAGGAAAACTAGACGCAAAATAGATAGATATAAAGATGGCGTACAATAATCAGAACACGAAACGAATCAAGCCTTCGATACCAAAGCATCAAGCGAATGAAAAAGACTTGTCATCATAATCCACTGAACATTTGCAGTAGAGAACAGCAATAACATTATTATGAATACAGCAAACTAGCCGTATTCATAATAATGTTAGCGAACAATGTTCCTGATGTCGTTGGTGGTTTAAAACTTACCATAAATGGATATAGAATCATTATTTTACTTGGTATAACTTCAAGAGAGTATTGAACTAAGTCATTGCATTGAATAAAACAAAGTCAGAATATGCACAGTTCATTATTTCAACTTGAGATATACTTATGTTTCATCCGTATAAACTTGGAAATTGATCCGTTTCCACGACAATTCCATAAAGGAACACTTATTCAAGTATTGTAAAATGCGTATTGTTGTTGATGTAGAATTTTTGAATGTTCAATCAAATGGACCTTATTTTTACAGAATTATGAAAAATTCAGGCCCGTATTCCAAAAAGTACTTGATGATGGTCAAAATGAGCACATTGTACCTACTATAGGTCGCGTATACGATGACCGACCCTGGAGGTAAAACATTGAAACACAACCTCACTTTTCTGTAAAAGATTGAAACACAACCTCACTTTTCTTATTTGTTTACAAAGGATCAAAAGATTGAAATAAAATAGTTTTTCACAATATTTAAGGTAATGAATTGTGTTTTTAGTGCTATTCATTAATTCAAGCATACCATCACATTTTTTCTGTTGTACCAGGTGATTCAATAAGGGTGATGAGGTACTGTATCTCAGGAACTCATATAGTTAATGAAACAGGCCCCTTTGCAAAGGTTATAATAACCAGAGTGGCATAGCAAGTTTTTTATGTTATTCACCAAACCTTCGTTTCTTGAAGACCTCGTTAGCAAAGTTATTAGTTCCTGAGATACAGTAACTTGTTACCCTTATTGAATCACCTGGTACAGTGTACAAAAAATGCAGCGTGAGACGAAGAAATATGATTTTTCAGGAAAATAGTGATCTCACATAGTTTTCATCATCTGCCACTTCTGCAATAGATGCTAATACTGCTAATTGAGTGAAAATGTCTACAACATACACGATCATAATTCGTCAGCAGGTAAGACCAGTCCTCTCGTTTGATTCCACGAATCCAATCTTCTTGCCTTCTTTCAGAAACCTCACGAGTATTTCTATTAGCTCCTATTGCAGAAAGGATTCCAATGAGAAATGACAAAATTTACAAATGAAAACTATATGTTGGTGACTACAGTACTGTTAGATCACAAATGTACCTCCTCACCTACCTGAAAAATCGGATTCATGCGTGTCTCGCTGCATTCTTGTGCATTGTACAACAGCACAATGTGGTGGCATGTTTGAATTATTGAATAGCCGAAAAACACGATTTTTATCCCAAATAATTGTGAAAAACTATATCAATCCTTAGTAAACAAATAAGAAAAGTGAGTTTATATTTCAATGTTTTGCCTCTAGGGTCAGTCATCTGAGAGATCTTGCACGCAATTCATAGTTCACTTAACCCCGTTCGACGATACGACTTCGTGGTGCCATCTTTCTTCTGATATTCGGAATACGGAATGTGTCCAGAGTCGTTCGATTATGCATTGTAAGTTATTGAAACCCGATCACAGTGTACCTATATTATTTTGTAGCCTACAGTGAACCTTTATCTGAGGTGAGAATACTATACCAATCTGTACCTAGCTGTACCTACCTTCATTGAATCGGCGTTTCCTCTATCAAAAGACAGATACCTACTTCGAAAAATAAATCAACAATCGCAAAACAATCACAATAATTATACATGATATACTTATACTTATTGCACAAAAACAACTTATACATTTGTGTTGAGGCAAGATGAGGTACACTTCACAACAGAAACATATCATTGAACGAATATCCACTCAGCAAGACATATTGGACTAGAATATTTTGAGTAAAATTTATGTACAAAAATACCTACAACGCTCACCTATATGAACAAATATTAATCGATCTGTATCGGAGAGGATAAAGTTTTCAATGGATACACAAATTTTCAAACATATTATGATAACCTTCGATTTTAAAACATGGAAACTTTTTTTAACAAAATATATGTGGCTGCGTGTAGATTACAATAATGATGCTTAATCAGAGTGGCATTGAAATAAAATTTTTCAAAGCTCTACACTGTACCAATTCTGACGTCACTCGTGTTCAAATTTCCATGAGGAAGGCACAATCAAGTGGAGTCCAACCATTTAAATTATTTTGAAGTGGCATACTTGATTTTTCACCTGTTTCTCGCTCAATTTTCGGGATGAAATTTCTCGTCAATTAGAGGAATTAGAAAAAATCTCATATTATGGGAATATTCGTTTGACTGAATCATGTCGATGTGCCGAATATGTGTACTTATTTCAAGAACACCTCGTACAAGGTTGTTTGTTATTATCCTTTCCACATATTTCAGCTACGGACATCTTGACCTACGAAGAACTCGATTTCTTCTTATTATGACTTATAATAGACCTCGCAACAAGGAATATTGGCAAGAAGGAGGGAGACTATCTTTACAAACAACATAACCTAATCAGCGTAATTTTATTTGGCGCCATTGCTTCACACTCCTTTGCCAAGAAGAAATTTCCTTCCTAGCAAAGTCCAAACACGGTGACAAAATAGTTAAAGTCGCTTAATCATTACTGGGCCAATCGAGATATAGAATTGACGCGAACGAACAACATTATCATTAACTACATTTTCTAAAGGACTTTCGACTGGTATAATAGCGCTTAACTGCACCTGGGTAATGATTTTTTACGGCCCTGGGCCAATTTCAGTAGATGCTTACGAGAGTAAACTGTACCCACATGGACCGTCATGAATATTATGTACCTACTCAATTTGAAATGACAGCCAGTAAGTAGAACAAGATATCTGATGTTATAATACTTAAAATTTTGAATTGACTCGGCCGTTACTTGATGGAAATCCATGATAAATGTAAAAACTTCACAAACGATAAGATTTCCACAATAGTTATTTATTATACAAGGGAAAAAAGTAGTAGATTTTAGCTCCAGGTTGTGTTGTCTCCCGACGCGTAGCGGAGGGAGACAACAAACCGTGAGCTAAAATCTAATATTTTTCCCGTGTATAATACACTATTTTTTTCTGTGACAGAAGAAATAACGAATCAATATTGTGAAGATATTACATTATTTTGATATCTGAAAATTATCGACGTGAAATTTTAAGTTTTTAACAGTAGGGACACCGCGTTGTAGGCATCTTTATCATTTGAAGTAATCAAATATTTGATGTCACTTCTGTCAGTCTAGTTTTGTGATTTTTTTCAAGAAATTGCGAATTCAGTGGTTATTTAGCAATATATACGTAACCGCGAAGTCGGATGGATGATAAAAGGACTTGCAGTTCTTTCTCGGAGACGGTATTATTGACTCATTTTTCGGAACTATAGCACAACAAAAGCCATCAATAGTGTATATATATGTGATATATATCCGGGAAAGAAGTACTCACTTTTTTCCCACGGGAAAAAAGTAATTTATGAAAAGTGACATTTTATAACCTGCCAACAGGGATGAAATGCCAAACTTTTTTCCCGTCACAGAAAAAAATCTATTAAACACACGACATGTTTCGCTAACACATCAGGTGATATACTGGTACAATGAACCAGTATATCACCTGACGAAGCTACTGTGTTAGCGAAACATGTCGTGTGTTTAATAAATTTTGTGGAAATCTTATCGTTTGTGAAGTTTTTACATTATAATACTTAGTAATATCTTCATTTAAACGTGCTTCGAGAAACTGAAAAAACTATATTGAAGTTGGTCTGATTCAAAATCGAAGAACACCAAGGTTTTAGTTTATTTTCATTCTAATTATTATGAATTGAAGTAATTTTACCCAACTTATCCTCTCAGATACGAAGAAAAATAAAACGACAAATCGAAATAAATAATTAATGCAGTAGAAATGTGTGCTCCAGCAGTCGTAGCTCATATTACTTATATTATTCACTAAATATCAAGTAGGTAGGTATTAACTAAATTCTCGCTTATGTTGGACATATCACTGAAACGAAAAAAACAAAAACTAATTTAATAAGTACTTACTAATGACTCTGTAGTCTAGATTGAGATATGACCAAACCAATTAAATGACATTTTACCAACATAATTAATGGCACAGTATAGACCCTTACGGAAGGGTCTATACTGTGTTGATGGTGCAAGTTTGTTTGATATTTATATAGGTGAGGCCATTCAAGTGTTCCTACAGCTCGAAAAAGATATCTTTTAAACTTTCAAACCATAATATCTTACCTTTCAGTATATAATCTGTCAATAAAGTGGGCACGGTAGGGCTATCTTCATTGATGGCTTTCAGTACTGAAAACGAATGATTTCATTAGAAACCATGAAATTTCACATGTATCCATAAACCCATACAATGCAAGGGGTTCGTGATACCATATCCATCAGAAATTCTACATACTTAATATAAATTCCCCATGCAATATTATCTATTATTAGGTACCTATATCATTAGTTTTTGATCATAAATATAGGAATGTGTCATGATTATCATATTATCAATATGACAAACACAGTGTTTATATAGTATATGCTGTGGAATGATCCAACTGAGGTTTAGTCATGCATCTTCATGGTATCAGGCAGATCTTCAGTTGTATCTATCATGTCATGTAGATGTAGTTCAATATTATTATCGTGAAGTAATCGCTAAGGCAATATGTTTTCTTTGTTCGATATCTTAATAATAATTTTGAATATCTCAGAATTCCAATAGAACTTCGAACCTACTAGGTGTTTCCGAAATTGGGGCGATCAATGAAATGTATCATAGGAGACGAAAAAACGAAACGAAATAAAAGAGTACAGTTTTGTCGAAAAAATATATTTTGGAAGATATTGAGCTTCAAAGTTTGCGTGAAACTATTGTAATAGCCCAACTGAAGCGTTTGCTTTCGGCGAGATCACAATCATCGGAAGTATCAATGACTTTTGCAATGTTTCCGGCCCTTCAATAATAGTTGACAAATGTAACATGGTGGCAGCGCACATTTTTTGAAAATATTTCAGAACAATTTTTTCTTGTGATTTATCGTGTTGCTTCACTTCATTTTATTCATCGCCCCAATTTCGGAAACACCCGTATAATACGAATTTTCACTATGTTTATGAATTAATTATTCACCTGAATTATCGAAATGACAACCATGATACTTACTTTTGATTAGGATTTGGAGAGTTTGATTATCTGGAGTTCCACTATCTATATGGTATGGAATAACAGTTGTCAAATACTGCAACAAATAAAATGATTATTATTAATCGAATTATAGTTGATCAAGAGAATAGCAATAGGAACTCAAACTCTATAGACGTTGCGGTTTTCAATGTTCTCTAAATATTTCTCAAGACTCCGTGAAATGAGAGCAATTTTATAAAAGAATTTAATTTGAATGAATTTATCCCTAAACTATAACCTCAAGGACTTAACAATGTTTTTTTCGCTTAGGGAAGAGTACCAGATTTCATCAGCCAAATTAAAGTCGTGCAGGAAAATATTGAAGATACTCTATCATAAAAAAATGACGGATTCAAAAAATGTTCATTCATAATATATCTAATATCGTTAAGTGATGGTCATTGATTCTGCTTTCCTCTTGAGCCCGTGACTCACCTTCGGGTCCAATCCATTCGAATTTTTCATCGCAGAATTTTTCGCGGATCTCTTTTTCTCCACGTGATACTGCCGCCTTTTGTTCTGCACCGCTAACAACAGCGAGATGAAAGTGTTCTTCAGCTCCTTCTCGTACTCCAGTTCGTCTCGCAGGGCCAGTTCTGAGATCAGCGTTTCTGAGAACTCTCTTATCAGCACTTCCAGCTCGAGGAATAGCTCGTTCAGCTGGGATAGGCTCAAGTCACGTAATTCTGAAAAGGATTACATTATTCATTCATGGGTCTGAATAATTATTTGGGACTGGTGGAAGCAACTATAGATTTTGAATTCAGCTGTGATTCTCTAATCACCGAGTACCCGAATCACTATTTTGTAGGTTAAAGGCTGCGACACAACTGAAGTTTTATGCAATAAGTTTCAAGGTTCAAGATTTAAGATATTAGCAACAAAATTGAAAGCAGGATTCAAAATAGAATCAGAATATAAAATCTGGAATTCCACCAATAAGGTTGTTTGAGAGGCGTGGCAGGAACCAGAATATTTTTCACTTTGCGGTATTTTCTCGGGACATTCCGTAATTTCAGAGTATTATTTTCGGTTATTATGTCGGTATAATCGAAGTTACTATAATCATAAACATGTGGATTGTTTTTATACTTTTTAACAACACCAAGAATTGCTGTGATTGGTTGGGTTCCCAAATTTTAAATCATAGAAACCATCACGTCCGTATCTTGAAACATTAAACTTATTTCCTAATTCATAAATGTGTGTTCTGTCATTCGCCAGAAGGACCTGTGTGCTCATTTTATAAAACTCATATTTCAAATTATAAAACTTAACACTAATTACATGAAACTTCAATTGTGTCGTAGCCTCAATTCTGAATTACAATTGATGATTTCTGAAAATCGACTAATTGTTCTGTAATCGAATCAAAACCCAGATATGCCTGAGGATATGTTGTTTCAAATTCAATCTTTGTTTCGTGAGATTAGTTTACTATACAAAAATAGGTGACATACAGAGTTTGAAAAAAGTTTTGTAAGCTGTATTTTCCAAAAAGGCGTTGTCCTATTGAAAGGACAGTAGGAAAATGTGTGACATTCCATAGAACGAAGCGTCTATTATATCAATATTCTAAATATAATATAGAAGGACATAAAACCATCGTGAATATGGAATCAAGTGAAGTATACAGGGTTGGGCAAAAGGTATGGAAGCAGATAACTCGGTAACCGTTTGTTAGATTTTTTGAATTTATGTACAGGGTGATTTCAAATTAAGGCAGACTCGAAAATGTTATCGACAATGTTGCCACTTCTTCAGTTATCCCGGAATTGTTATACTCCTTTTTTTAAATGGAACATCCAGTTTTTTTTTTATATTTTCTCGGAGAAAATGATCTCATCGATCTATCACACGCTGTATCTTGGGAACAAAGCACATTGATAGGAACTTTTTTTCATAAAATGAACTGATGAATCTCGATACATATCGATATTTTGATGATACCAATATATCGATATTTTTGCCCAGCCCTACTCTGACGGATAAATGAAAGTTTGTCGTCCGCTGGAAGGTTGAAATGGCGTATTTCCACTTACTGTCCTCGTACAAGGGCGTGCTGAGCACCTCCTTGGCCTTCTCCATGACTTCGCGGCTCTCCAGCCTCGCAGTTCTGGCTTCTTCCTCCTCCTCCGCCTCTTCGTCGTCCTCCTGCATCATGTCATCGATCTCTCGAATGACCTCGTCGGCCGTCTTGAGAGGCTCGACGTCGTGGGGCGCGCCCGCGGTGCCCAAAATGAGGGCGTGCATGTCAAGGTCACCGGCCACCGCCTCGTCTTCGGAGCTCAGGTCCGGGTCGTCTTCGGGGGTTCGGGGCTCCTAAAATAAATGGAAAAAAAGGGGCTCCATCAAAAATCATACACTCACCGGCAAAATAATCGATCCACTCCAAATATTGATAAAATTTGATCAACGGTAACTTCGTTAATTCATGTCTGATTCGTTCAATTTTTTTTTAATCCGTAGGTAAATTCATATAGAATCACATACAATGTTGAGATTTTAAGAAATGATGCATATCTTCAAATTATACAGTGACAAAAAAGTGAATTTTTACTTCAATTTTATAACAATCTTTGGAGTGGCAAAGCTGGTACATCCTGTAATTTTTCAGTCAATCATCAAGCTACGTTTATTACGAACATTTTCTTTTTTTATTTGTTAGGATAACTGTATTTTCGTGGAAGTAACAAGGGTTTCAGAAGAACGTTACATTTCAATTTTCAACATTTTTTTCTATGGTAATAACAAGGTTCCCCAAGACATTTTTTGCATAGCTGGCTGTGACAGACCTGTCAGTTGACAATTTGTATGCTTGTGTTAATCATCGAATGGTTGAAGATATGGATCTTTCTGCAACCCACTCTGCGGGAGCTATATTGCTTTGGTGCAGGATGGTAGATCACAATATTATGTGGCCAGAGCTTTGGAAGTTTCAAGATCCAGGGTGCAAAGGGCTGTTGAACGGTTCCGTGAATTTGGTGTATTCACAAGCAGAGGTAATAGTGGTCGGAAAAAATCTACGAATGATCGAGATAACCGCTTCATAACGCTCAAAGTTTTGAGGGACAGAAGACTTACTTCTGTTCAATTGAAAAACGAATTAGAGGAAGTGAGGCAAGTTCAAGTCAGCGATAGAACAATGAGAAGGAGGCTTTTCGATATTGGACTCCGAGCAAGAAGACCTGCAACTGGTCCAGACTTATTGAGGAATCATCGAGTTAATCGCCTCATATATGCTAGGGAACACGAATATTAGGGTAATGAACAATGAAGCAATATCCTATTCACCGACGAGTCAAGGTTTTGTCTCAGATCACCGGATGGACATGAAAGAATTTTCAGAAGAACTGGAGAACGTTTTCTCCAAAACCATTTTTCGCCAAGAGTGAGTTACGGAGGCGGTTCGATAATGGTGTGGGGTGGCGTGAGTTTTGAAGCTAAGACGGACTTAGTCATAGTGGAAAGGGGATCCATGACAGCTGATAGGTATATAAGAGACGTTTTAGAACCACATGTTGTTCCATTTGCGCTGTTCATCGGAGACGATTTCATGCTTATGCATAACAATGCCCGACCGCATGTTGCAATGATTGTGAATGAGTATTTAGCAGATGTTAAACTCCCAATAATGCATTGGCCTCCTCAAAGCCCCGACTTGAACCCAATTGAACATGTTTGGGATGCTCTCGGGAGAAGAGTACGATCTCTTTTAGCAGCTCCTGCAACTACAGCAACTCAGTGAAGTGTTAATTGAAGCATGGCAGCAAATCAAGCTTCGAAAGATGTCCCCGTAAGTTTGCTTACAATGAAGTATAGTTTTGATGGAGTAGACTGTATGAATTTCGTCCTGTCCTATCATATTTTGAAATTTTATGAGCAATAAAATGCAGATGCATCGTTTGGTGCAATAGACGGCTTCGGAATGTAGTTCTGAACACGATATTCGATCAGAAATCCTCCTATTACCCCCAAACGAATGGGCGATTCAAAGATATGTTTTAGTATGTTCTGGGCAAAAATGTCATGTGCTTCACATAGTTGATTCTTGCTCTAGATTCACTGAATGGTGAGCCATTTTATATACCAATTCTCACTTCGAAATATGAGTACCGATTTCGAAGAAAGTGAAAAGATCACTTTCATTGTTTAGGTGATAGTGATCAAGATCTCGGTTTTGACGAGAAGCCAGGTAGTAGTGGAAAAAAATACCATCAAGTATCACATATTGCCGCTAATGAAATCTTATCAAGTAGTGATAGAGAACAACAAAGTATGTTGCTAGAGTTGCATTCTATACGCAATTTAAGCTAATTTCATTATATTTCAGATAGCAGTTCAATAAAAAAAAAATCGTCAGAACAAGGTGAAAAACGCATGAGAATTCTGTCGAAGTGGAAAAGGAACCAGAGAAATCTGGATATAAATGCAGGAAAAGAGTACATTAATAGTGAAGGAAAAGGAGTGAGAACAAAAATACAGGGACTCAGGCGTGCATGTGAGTGCAGTAAAAGTGTTATGACACATTATTCAAGGATTCATTCCAGTACTGGGAAAAAACTTGGAGAAAATACTGAGAAATCGAATACACCAACAAATAGACGTCAACATTCCAAGATATCAATTCGGATTCAGAAATGAATGCTCTACCCTACTCCCTCTCAGTATACTCACAAACAATATCGAGGCCAGCAAGCTTAATAGACGTAAAACAGCAGCAGTATTTTTGGATATAAACAAAGCCTTCGACAGTGTATGGCACAAGGGGCTTTTATACAAACTGAACCAATTAGGATGTTCCAAATATTTAATTTTCCTGATCAAGAGCTTTTTAACAAACCGGAAATTGAAAGTGAAGATTTTATCAAGTCTCTCCAATGAATTCACCCCAAAACAAGGACTACCACAGGGTTCTCCATTATCTCCTCTATTGTACAATGCATACTGCGCTGACATCTATACTCACGCCAATAACATCCCACAGTTATTCCCCATGCCAACTTACATACTCCAATATGCAGACGACACAGCTTTAGTTTCACATGGAAAATCCTTTGTCAAAACGGTAGAAAACCTACAAAGCCTGATGAACTCAACCACAGTATGGTTCAACAAATGGAGACTAAAACCCAATCCAACCAAATCCCATTTCATCATTTTCAACCATCACCCTTCACCTTCATCGCCTACCATCACTATTCATCAGCACAATCTTCATCCAGAATTGCAAGTTAAATATTTGGGAGTTACCTTCGACAATAAGATAAGTTTTAAACAGCATATAAACCAAAAAAAGAAAAATATGATCTCAAGAGCAACCCACTTTAGGGGATTGACATACCAGAAGAAAGGGATAAATCTGACAACAGCAAGCAGTATTTATAAAATGATATGTCGTCCAATGATAGATTACGCCCATCTGATATTCTTAAACTGCAAAGCAGGCATCAGGAAAAATCTGCAAGTAGCCGAAACATCTGCAATCAGAAAAATAACAAAAATTCGCCACCCCAACAACCCACTACACAATCCACCTAACCCACTGCTCTACGAAATGACTGGCATAAAACCTATTGAGACACGCCTACACGAACTAGCCCAGAGATTCTGTCGAAAACACACCAACATGGAGATACTACAAGAATTCTGTATAAGAAGAAATCCAGAAGTACAGGCCATACACAAGCATCCAGAAGAACCGCTCATTGAAATACTTCTCCGATTGGATCAACAATTTTAACATAACAAAAATGACTTTTTTTTTTTTTTTTTTTCACAATCAACAGTAATTTTTTAAAAAAGTCAAGCAGGAATGATTATAATTTATTAGTATAAACTTAAAGGCTGAAGGACCTAGGTCGATAGCCGGTAGAATTGAATAGTAATGATTGTACTTATATGTTATATCATATGTATTCAATTCAATAAAGAACGATTATTATTATTATTATTCAAGGATTCAGTTTCATCAAACGGCTGATAGCTATTTAGGTACTCTGATTGTTCATTTTTCTATTATCCAATATGAAACTGTTTATTTTTGTAAACGAAACATTCGAAAATCAAAATTTGTAATAACTCATGGCTTATGGGATATCCTAAATTGTGAAATATATTTTGTGAATACGATGTTTACAAAATTAGTGATGCTTGTGAAGATTTCATTTTGCCTAAATCAGTATTGGAACTCATAGGAACCAATGTGACCTATAGCAATGAAGTAAAGATCTGTATGATGTTGAACTAGAAATATGAGTTGATACATGCTTTGACAGGTTTATCAATGTGTGATTAGATAAAACCTCAAATACGATCCAGAAATGTATGTTGTGATTTACCAATGTATGTTGTGATTTACCAATATATGTACACTCGTCTTCAGAGATCATGTCGCACATGGACGGTGTCAGTTTCCGTGATCACTGCTCCATTCTGAACAAATTCCTAATAAATAATGATTTCTATGATTTTTTACCTGATGTTATGAAACTAACTTAACATGAGGAAATACGATCAAGAATATCTCCAAATCACGAGAAATTGTCACTGAAATTTCGAAAATTTTGCGGGATTTCTGTTCGCTTCGCTCGCTTTAGCGACTTCTAGCGGTTTTTTTAGCACCATTTTATATTCAACAGTTGGCAACACAAGAAGTTTGATACTCCTGTGCGACAATGTAAATCAGAACATTTTTTCTTCCGTTGTATTTTTAGATTTGTTGATTCGTAGGCCACTCAGAAAAATCATTGATTCGCCATATTGGGGTCGCGATATTAGTTTTAAGTTTTCAACCACCCCAACTTGAAACAATTATTGGTACGTTACTGAAATAGCAATGTTCATTTCAATTTTCAATCTTACAGAATCAATTCATTCAATATGTTGGAAAAAAGATTCTGAAAAGTGTGAGGGTCACATCAGAAATTTTTGTACAATTATTTTCCAGGTAGAAACAGCATTATTGGTGTGACAAGTACCTGATAGGATAGGATAGGATAGGATGGTCATATTCTCAATCGAGTAGCATACAGTTGCCGAATGTTGATGAAAAAACAATGATAATATTGGAATTGACGTTTCTGAAAAAATTCTATCGACTTTTTTTCAGAATTGGGCTCGGAAGTTTATCAATATGAAAGGTACAGTTGTGTGCATAAAGAAGTCGTACAAGGTTTGTATGGTGTAAACATGCCTATGATATTCCAGATTTCATTTAAAAGTAGTACACGTACACATTTGCGCGTTACTTACAAAAATAGTTTGAATTTTGACACTACTTGTCACAGTCGACAAGCAGATTAATCAAGATTGACAAGTCTGACTCACAATAGCCTATAACTGCTGTACGACCTGTTTATGCACACAACTGTACATATCATTGTATTTTGTGACACTCTTTGTTGTCATGACGTCTCAATGAAAAAGCATTTTAGAAGTGAAATACTCGATGACACGTGGTATTTGAATACTAACTGTTCAATTATTGGCCTACCTGATCTAGATGAAGAGCATTTATTTGCAGTTTTCTAGCATAAGATTTTGACCAATCTATTGGGAGTATATTTCCAAAATTTCCCGTGAGAGTCCACCACATCCTGAAATGGAAGAAAAACAGAATTTATTTATGGATCATCATCGATGGAAATTAGAACAAGATTACAAACAACTTGCTACACTAATCAGAGATCAGAGATTCGCAGGAATGACACTCGAATCTAGTAGGTATTTATCAATAACGACTTGTCATAATCTGTCACGGCCATGGCTAATTATTATCGAAAATAGTGCTTTCATAGTGACAATAGGTCTATATTTCGGTTTCACAGAACTAAAATGATTGAAATATATTGCCAGTGGTGAAAAAAAAAATAACATAAACCTTGGTAGTAAAGAATATTATTACCATGGGACCTTATACCTCAGGATATAATCTTGGTCCCTGGGTAAATAATGATATTCTTTACTACCTTGGTGCATAAGTAACTATTATGTATCAAGGGCTTAAAATAGGATTTTATGGACCGTAGCGTGTGAGATCCCGAGCGAAAACGAGGGCTATCAACACGCCTAGGTCCATAAAAGCAAAGTTACGCCCAAAATACATACAACATTTTATGCACGACCGGTACATTTGATTTTTCATTGTGAATATTTCTTTACTTCTCGAAAACGATAAAAGTACAGATCATGGCGGCAGTGAGGAATATCGGCCATTTTTATGAATTAGGAGTAGACTATTATATTCGCTGGCAATAAATGTCATCATAGATAATTTATTTTGAGTTCGATTAAATCATTTTGCATCTCGATCAGAAATATCATGTAATATTAGATGAGGAACCATCACAACTGAAACATGAATATCCTGAATTAGTCCGCGGGAGGTAAAGTACTACATTACGCCCGGTCGTGCATAATAGAGTTACATCCAATATTTTTTCGACAACACTTAAACACCTCATTCAACTTATGGTGTGAATGATTGAATGATTTTCCACAATTATAAAGTACATTTACTCAATTCCTGTCACTTTATTGATAACATCTGATTTCTAAGGACGAAATAGCCAGGCCACCTACGACTGATTTGAATAAATCGCTCATTCCGCTTGCGCTCAGCTATGCTGATCAAATCATACAACATGAGATGCGAGCCTATTATTATCTATAATACGCAAGGATATCTTGGCACCTTTTTGCCATCTCTATTTCAATGACACTCCATATGAAATACCAAAATACCAAGTCAGCCGCCTTGATTTGTTCGCTTGCTGCCTTGCTGATTCCCGTGAAGGAGCCCATAGACTGCGTTGTGGGTGGGCGGAAGTGTATGTTGTGTGGCTAGCGAAAACGACCATTTTGTAGCCACACACTTCGGTTCAGTGTCATTTTTGTTCGAACAGACTTGTTCGTTGTACATACTATACCGTACTATACCCACAACGCAGTGTAAGAGCCCTTTGACGCAAGCATTCATCCATCGCTTAGCAACAAACCTGAAAAAAGTGTTCTGTTTTTCACACTTCTCCGTAATATGGTGAAACAGCATTTTGATCTCACACAAAATATATTAAAAAAGTGCAGTTTTCGGACAGTTGTAGGAAAAAATAATTTCTATTTTCATGTTCCAAGCTAGAGGTTCCATGTTGATTTCTATTTTTTATAATAGCAGTCATTTATGGTCCACAAACAAAAACAAAGTTTTATAATAGAAATCATTAAGTATCCGAATCAGAGAATATTTTTTTCTGTAGACCGTTATGGACTGCTATCGAAAACCTGCCTTCTGTAATTGTTACAACTATACTCTTGAGTAATATTTCTCGAAAATAAGAATCGACATGAAACGCCCCTCATTATATGGAAACATGAAAATAGTATTTCATTTTTTTTATAAAAGTTCCAATATCTCGAAAATCTTAAGGTTTGAATGACGCTTTGATTATCCTTTTCAGAATACCAACTAGGTGAATATGCACCTTTTAACGTTAACAGACATTGGACATCAATCCCCTTATTGAAGGATGAAATGATGATTAATTATGACTTTCACATTTTCTACGCCCATAGTTGTGCAATGCAATAATTGGCTTTGCCTTATATACGTATACTCACTAATACGACCATCATAGTATATATAGCCTCGATGAAATGAGGAAAAATGCTTATTGTCTACGCAAACCTCGATGTAAACAATCAGTATTTGGACTTGGCTGTCTAAATATTGTTTTCTATTGTTTGGGTTAATGTATACTTTCGCTTTGTTTAACTGCATAAAAAATGTGTAGGAAAGTATAGTCAAGAACCAGCGTATCCACGCGACTGATATAAAATAAAAATTATACATCCCATCTTATCAGCATCATGTGACATGTGACCAACAACGATATTTTCTTTCTGCCATTGGGTATGCAAATACAATATTGAATTTTACTTGTTGATGCGCACTCCAAATACCAACCCAACAAAAAAGATTTGAAAAATGGATAAAAAAATATATAGGTATTTTACAAGGGTGGTTATATAGGTCCTTAACGAGTCGAGGACATACTATATGAATGGAAATTATAATCATCAAACATTCCTGACAATTATTCGATGTGAATTGGAACAAGTTGCTATAATGTGTGTGAAATCAGCTGTGCGAAATGGTTTAATAAACAATAATTTCCTTAATTACAGAATTAAACTCTCACTCTCGTGAATCATCTGAATTAATGCATCACGCGCAATACGTACTTATTGTCGGCTCGTGTTGAAAATGGATCATTATTATATCCATTAAAAACTTAAAACTTTTATAGTTAGGTTAAAATAAATACTGTCTTTAGGTTAATCGAGGAGGTGGTATAAAATAAAAATATGAATATTATTTCAATATATACATCTAGTAAGGACAAATCAGATGATTCGCCCCAAAATGTCACTGCGTTTAAAGATTTTTCCTATCGGAGAGCGTAAAAGAAAAAATTACTAGCTTGTCAGTGACAATTTTTATTGAAAAAGATATGAAGGTATATAGAGATAATACCAAATTTTCATTTAGCTTTGGACGTTTCGGGAACAAATCTGCCCCCCTTTTCAATATATAAAGAATGGATATTTGAATTCGGGTCAATTATATCAGTGGTGGCTATGTCTTCATTGACTAGTGGTTCATAAAATGACGAAAACTACCTTGGTAGTAAAAGCACTTTATTCTATTCAATAGAAATACACAAAATAACAATGGGCGTAGAACTTTTAACACAAACCATGTTTATAATGATCCTTTTATACATAAATAATGATTGACGACATAATTCGATCGAAAAATTAACTGGAAAATTTATATTTGGACATAAATAATAGTACCTTCTGAAAACGGACCCTCTTATGTCGAAGAAAGCTCATCTCGCCATAGTTAAAAGAAAATACCAAACGCCCGACGGAGACTGAGGCAACTGATATATTAATTCTTTCAACTGTGATCTCGCGCTAATTCACTCTGTCAGAAATCATGTATAATTCATCTCTGTCTTGTTTCAGTATTAGGGGTTTGACGTCACATCATCGCCTCGTTTTCAGAGGTCCGAAAAATCGGGGATTTCAATATTTTTTATAAAACGTATTAGTTTGGGTGAGTTCTATCGAATTATGAAATAAAATTTTTTTGTGATATAAGCCCATTCTATAGATGATTGGTTATGGAGATAAAAAAAATTGGAAGTTACTCCCTTATTTTATGAATCATATTTCCGAAACAGTTGAGGATGAGTATAGAATATTGTACCTGAAATATGCCTAGAATTGTTTTAAAAATCAAAAAATTTCATGAAATACAGGGTGTTGCTTTGAATTAAAAAAGTTGGTAATGCCCGATGTTGCATGACACACCCTGTATAGAGAGTTTTTGTTGAAAAGGAAGCGCTTCTAACAGCTTTTATACAGGGTGATTCAAAAGTAAGCGGCATCCTTTCAGAGGCGTATTCCTTGCTTGAAAATAAGGCAAAAAGTTCCTATTGATAAGGATCCGAAAATGCTTCCAGCGTAATGCTTCCTAAGGGAGCTACGGCCCTTTGAATAGGACACCTCAAAGACGGTTTTTTCTCTATAACTTTAAAATCCTTCACAACAAATTTTTAAAAATTGGTGTACGGCATAAACATTCGATGGTAAATAGGACTCCGTATTCGAAATAATTTCCAAACGAAATCACAGTAACCTGAATATCCGGAGAAGAAGGGATATTTTTACACTTACCCTCTCCCGCATGTGACGCCCCTGAATGAAATTCTGAAATTTCGAATACGGAGTCCTATTTACCATCGAATGTTTATGCCGTACACCAATTTTTAAAAATTTGTTGTGAAGGATTTTAAAGTTATAGAGAAAAAACCGTCTTTGAGGTGTCCTATTCAAAGGGCCGTAGCTCCCTTAGGAAGCATTTTCGGATCCTTATCAATAGGAACTTTTTGCCTTATTTTCAAGCAAGGAATACGCCTCTGAAAGGATGCCGCTTACTTTTGAATCACCCTGTATATCAAGGGAGAGAAATATATCAATTTCCTCCCTCGTGTGAAGTTTGTGTTAGTATCGGGGGTAACGATTAAACACACACAGAAGGAATTAAACGTTTGCTCCCAAGATAGATATATGAATTTAGTCACGAACGCATTTATTTGGGCGGTCTATCTCTTTAGTCTCGATCCAAATCAATGTGTTAAAAAAGTGTAGTATGCACATAGACAATTGACAGTATTTCATTCAATTTGACACTTATACTGTTATATTGAATTTGTCTCGGAATTTGTTTATTGTGTACTTGCATCAAAGTTTCGATTGAGTAGGTTTGAAATATGAGCTAGTGTATGAAGTCATTGAAGTTCAAAAGGGAAATTGTTATTTGTTTAGATGATGACAATGATAAGGTACTTGGGTAGCACAGATCTCATACTTTTATCTATCTCTCCCAAGCAAGCTGAGGCCAATTTATTTTACCCCCCACGGGAAATATTTTTTTTGCTCCCGTGTATGAAAATTGACAGATTTGTGACCTTGAATGAGGTAGCAAACAATTACTTTCTGTGCAGAGAGTTTGAAAAAACAAAGTTAA